AAAATAAATTACAGTGAAAGCAATGAAGATTTTGTAGGTTTTGAACCAAACTAAATAACACTAAACCTTTTTTTTTATTTACGGTATTTTCTTATTTTGATGTTATGAGCTCTTTTGTGTCTAGAACAATATATACTAAGCATCAAATTGAATTTTTGTTCAATAAAAATCTTTCAAATGCGACTTTAGCTTTTTTTCCCCCCAAAACTTTGTCTTCAAAATAAGGGTGCGTCTTATATTCTGAAAAATACTGTATATTGTATTAAAATCATCCTGAATATGCAAATCAGCAAGTAACATGACAACAACAGCTAATATACAGTCAAGATGGAACAACATGTATTACAACTACATTTTGAAAATGCTTGGCAGTTTGTAGGTAATGGGATGCCACAAAAAATTAATTGCTTTTGGGAAAGTTATGTAAATGCCTTTTCCAATGCATAATATTAATACATCAGATCATGAAAATGTGTTCAGATTGAGAATTTAGAATTTCTAAGACATGAATATACCTTATACTTAGTGGTATTTGAAAGAAAAGAAACATGGATCAACTTGGGGAAATAGGACCATCCAAAAATAAATCTACTTCAGCTGTGGTTATCAAAGTGTGGCATCTTTAAACTGGTGAGAATCCATGAACACAAGGGCACGTGGCAAAAGCCATTCACATATCCCAGACAGCAGTATGTAACATACTCAAGAAGAATTTCCATCTGGAAACAAGGCCAACAGGATATGGGGTCACCAAGATAAGGCTTCAAGTCATAACTTCTGCTCTACCATTGCATAACTCAAGCAGCTGGAGAATGAAACAAATATTCAGATATTCAAGCTATTCCATACAAAGACATACCAGTGGATACAACTCCTATAGATTTCTGTGCAATCAGACTGTTGATATGGGCACTGGGAACTATCATCCTCATTTACTAGATAGATTATGGAAAGCATTCAGGGTGAAGGGTGTATGCTTTGGACATTACAGCCTTACACCAAAGCCTTTTACAATGGAAACTACATTACAGGGTAACTTGTAAAGATGCACAGGCATTGGTTTTGGGTAAGGTACTCAACCCACTGTATTAACAAAACATCAAGACAAGTTTAACAAAATGTTGTCAACAATGAACAAACATCAAGAACTTCCAAGAAACCACTAAAATTGTAAAATAAACTTTATCTATTTGCATCTAACTAGATTAATAACACTTAATATACAAATAAAAAATTCAATAACTATATAAAAAATTAGTCTATAACTAACTAAAAATGGGGAACAAAAGTCATTAATTTTCTACACACTACTGACAATCTGAGGTTCTTAGCAAAAGCTCAAAGTATTTTATTGCTGTTGCATAAAATGGTTTATAACCTATTCCTATATGCTATAAAGAGCATGTGTTGCACTCAAGACAGGGTGCTTCAAGTTTAGAGTGAGTGCTATTTACACTCTGTTTATGTGCGGGTTATTTTTCAGGATAAATATGTATACATTATATATGATATATATATCAATATACAATTATATATTGATACTGACAGTACAAAGAATTGACAAAACTGGGAAAGCACATGCAATATCAATCACATAGTCAGATAACAAGTTTTAGAATCCTCACCTTCCAAAATACTGTGATTTATCACACAGAAGTTTTACATCTTCACTGGAAATATCACATTCCTCAATTAAAATGTGTTCTCCTAAAAAGAAAAAAAAATGATAAGAACAATTTCAGTCTTGTTTTCTATTATATTGATATTACTATACATTTCTCTGTGTCTAAAAATATATTTTCTATATGTAAAAATCAATGGATCTTCATGAAGTTTCAGCAAATATATGTCAAAATAAGAACATTTCAACTATCATTGTTGAATACTGATAATCATATAAAACTCTGACAATTCTGTAGCATATTAGAATAGCAACACATTCTTAAGTTGACAACCAGTGTTTCTAAACTTGATGAACATAGATGAAAATGAAAAGTGGGCTAGTTGTTTGTAAATATCCATGAGAACTTGGTAAGAGTAGTTGTTAAGCAATTTTGAGCTACCTGTAAAAACTGGAATGGTTTTTCAAAAGATGTTCACTAAATAGAAATTGGTACTTCCAGTGAGAAGTATCCAACATTTTGAGGTGGTTCAGTGAAAGACTACATTGTGGTGTATTGATAAGCCATGGAGGGATGGGGTTGATTATTGGATTTAACAATGTCATCCAATGTCAGGCCTCCCAACAAACTTTGCCTGGATATGAAAACCAAAAGGATAGTAGGTCATCTATTTACAAAAAGCAAAACCAACCAAGACATGAAGACACACTGCAAGTTGGGATGTTGAGATAGTGATTGGAGCTTCATGGTATGTTGCAAAGACAGCTGCAAACATCAAATTTAAAATAGAGGTTCACAGAATGCTGGGTACAAACTCTGGATTGGAGAAGTGTGGAATGCTCCAATGTAAAATGAAAAACTCCATAATGCACAGGGTCCAACATATTTAATGCATACTATCTTCAATGTGTAGAAATGAGATCTGTAATCACATTTAGATCAAATGAGTGTACAATATCTATCCTCTCCCCCAAGAGATGAAATGGAGGGCAAGGTGGTTTAATGTTCTTGTACACTTAAATTTAAGCTGTAGATGTGTGGAATAAAAGTCAGCTTATCATCAAAGAAAAGTCTTAAGAACTTAGCCTCAGCTATCACAGGAAGCTATGCACTTCCCAGATGGAATTCAGGATCAAGGTGCAATCCTTGTTCGTTGCAGAAATGTAAGCAAATGGTTGTTGATGATGACAATTAAAAACCATTTGCAGTGTTGCATTCATATAGCTTATTAAGGGCACTTTGAAGATTCCACTTAAAATATACCTCATATTCAATAACTGACAAAAAATTTGAAAGTCATCAGCATAGTCACAGCTTACAACCATCAGAGGAAGATGTTTATTGCCTCCATTGATCTTATTACTAACAAAAAGTGTGAAACAAAAGACACAGCCTTAAGGTCTTATAAGCTCCTGCACGAAAGATCAGGAGAGTAATAGTCTTAATCAAATTTGAATGATCTTTCTACAAAAATCTTAAGAAATAAAAATTAGAAAATGGTAGCTAATCCATAACAATGGAGATCCCATAAAATACCAAACTTTCAGATAGTGTGTAAGACTTCTTAAGATAAAAAAATACAGAAACAAGATACTCTCCTTGGAAAAGGCTTCCCTGATAGATGTTTCAAGTCAAACCTGATGGTCCATGGTAAAAACCATAATGGGTATTGGAAAGGAGGTTGTTTTAGTTGGGGAAATACACAAGAGAAGCAATGGGCAAATACTTAGAAGAGTGACCAGAAAGAAATGTTTTTCTCATAATGGAGATCATCCAATCAGACTGATGAAGAGCAATTTTGAGTTCCACTAGAGTGACAGGTCTGTTATAATTAAAAATACAATCCGTTTAAAAAAGATGTGATTCGTTTAGTCCTTGCCTTCATGATTAGCACGTTAAAGGAACAAGTGGAGAAGTATGAATGGTGGAAAAAGCACTCTCCAAGGGTGTTAGGAATATCCAGTTAGTTAGCCACTTCTTGGCCATTGTGATGCAAAATCAAAATGGGAGGAACATACATTTCCCATTTACCCTTCGAATCTTGTCCCACACAATCTTGGAACTGGTGGTGGAAGAGATGCTGAAAACAAACTTAGCCCAAGACTCTTTCTGATCTACAGGGTATGGGAACAAGCTGTCTGGAAGGCTATGCAGTTGGTAAGAGTGGAATATCTGCAAAAGTAAAGATACAGACAACACAACAGAAACTGATCAGATCCTAAATTTATCTAGTTAGAATGCAAATCTCAATTTTTCTGAATAAAAGTTTTCATTTTCACTAAAAACTCCTGGTAACCCTAGGAGGCTAGCATTTAGGAGGTTTATCTTACAGCACCCATTAAATTAAACCTATTAGTACCACTTGGTACACTGGACCAATGCTATATTACAGAAATAATGCTTAATATAATTATGAATTTACTATGTGTGTTTTCACAAAATTTGGCATGATTTTGATAAATGTGAAAAGTCCATTGTACACAAAAAAATAATTTTTTTTTAAAATTTGTCTATAAATTTACTGATTCAGTCTGACTCAAACTAGTTTGAGTGCAAGGTGATTTTCATATTAAAGAATACTTTTTCATCTTACAGTTTTAAATGAATATTAAGTTATTTTTGGCAAAACTACATATTTTTTTCTGCTATTTTGTCTACCCTAACTCTAATGGTAGTGACATCACCAATCATGATTAATGTAAAGTGAAATTAAAAGTAGAAAAATATGAAATAAAATGAACAATATCTTTTTCTCTTCTTATTTTGTTTTATAATTTCCCTTGTTATGTGATTCTTATCTTCAAGATTTCAAATGTTAACCTTTTCATGTATATTTTTTGTAAATTAATGGTTTTGTAGTTGTAGTTAGTACCCACTTGAGCACTGAACCTCTCATCAAAAACAATAAAGTGTGTGACCTAAGTGATCTTTGAGTGCAAACCACAATTGAGCAATGCCTCACTTTCTTCAATAAGTTATTTCTTCAAATAAAAATTCTTGGACCTTTAAAACATACATTTTAGAAGACAAAACATAAAAAAGGCAATAAAATATCCTAAAACTATAATTTAGAAGGTTTTCTAACTACACAATAAATAGGTTAACAAAATTCATTTTCTGCTTGGAGCAGGAAATTACAGTCACAAAAACATGAAATTAAGGCCAAACATATTACAAGCACCAAAATGAAATAGTCTCCTAATAAATTCTGTACAAAACAACCTGCTCTTTTTATTGGTTATAAATAATCTAACAGCAAATGTCAGAGAGAATTACTGACATTTTTTGAAAGATAGGATAAGACAAAACAGGGGTGGCTGTGGGTTTGACTTTTATGGCTTGTCAATCTCTAATGTATAAATGTGAAATTGGTGGGACTCTCAGAAGATCATATAAGGGTAAAAAGAAAATCTATAATGCCAATTCAGAGCACAAATGATACAGAGAAGTGAAGAATGAGAGTTTATATAATATTGTAATATTTCCTTTTGAAACTGAGAAATAAACTTTGAATTATAAACTACATTTTGATGCCAAGCTTACTGACATACATTTGTAATTAGGTTGTTTAATTATATTCTGAATGTAACTCTGTAAAAAGCATAGGGTTAAAGATGTTTAACTTCAGCCACAAATGATGTGCCAACTGACTCTGAATGAATCATTTCAGAGCCTCCAGTATTCAAGAATTCCAAGCCAAAATAATGTGCTGCAATGATCCCTCAACTTACAAGATCCTCTCTTCCCTCTTGTGGGCTGCTATATGTGAAAAATATGAGTGAATGCTTGGATCTCATAGAAGGTAAGTTGTTCAGGTAGAATCTTTCCAGGGAGGTCCCCTCATAAAAGTACTGGAATATACATTGAGGGGTCGTTATGACCACACACCAACATAAGAATCATTGTTGTTTGCCAAAATGTGTAAAATCTTGGGAATAAAGAAAAGCCAGGAGAATAGCTCAACTGTAGAGATACAAAAGAGGAGACAGGTTGCTATTGGTTATGTGAACAGGTCCCAAAACTAAAAAAGTATACTCTAAACTTATTGACTTTTTATTTTTGTGTAACTCTAGGAGTCATTTACAATCTAAAATGAATCCACTTGAAAGCCAATACATATCAATATTTGCCCATTTAAGTATCATATAACACAACTTAAACACATTTAAATTCAAATTTTTCTATTAACGTCAATATCAAATACAAAATATAATTTTGAAAACTTCTTTCTTCCTCACTCTGGCTAACATACCTTGTTATTTCACAACAGCTTGAAAATTATTCTAACAAATAATTACATCTAACTTTCAAGTATTCTATCCAGATGTTAGTCAATCTTGACCATTCCTTGCTAAGCATCACAATCACGTATCCAGAGTCGATTTTTGCTTATAAGCAAAATATAACAAACTGAATTTTTAAGTAAAAAGTAATACGGTAAAAACTAATACACTAACTGGTGATATATTAACCAATCAACAATTATGTTACACACACTTCTGCAATCATTCAAAAAAGTGTTATTTTCTTAAAAAAAATACAAAATTCCATAATTATTACAATTAACTTGTTTTACTCTAAATGTTGAGTTCTAACATAGAAGAAACTGTAGCTTGGCAACATTTCCTGAATAGTAGTCTGAACTTGAACATGAAAATTCTTCAAATTAATGAGTGTGGCAAATGACATATTTTGTCTTAAAGAAAAACAAATAACTGAAAAGTGATTTCTAATTATAAAAATTCTTGCTATAAGTTAAGGTAAAAATCTGTCCACTACTGGAGTAACAAAAAACACGAGACATATACACAATAAAGGTTTGAACATATTCAGCATGCTTTCTTTTCTTAATTAATTTACATTTCTTACCTTCCATACAAACATTCACTGCTGTCTCCAGTTTATCTTCTATTAAGTAACGACATTCTGAGAGTGGCTTTATCTTTTCTTTACACCTAATAGTAATCTCATTAGATAGATTTTCTTGTCTCTGTTTTATGACAGTGAGTAGCTTTTCAGTCAGATCCTTAAAATAGCTGTTGATGTATTCTCTGGCATCCTCTGCTGACCTTTTCAACTATAGAAGTAAAATATCCCTAGTTACCAATTGCTTAACTTTTTTCATGTTCAGTGTTAGCTTTTTTAACAGTTTTAGGTACTAATGTAATAATACATCCAAACCTTCACAAGTTGTGGAATGGACATAAAACAGGTAACAAGTATGTAACTGCCCATGGAACAGTTCATCTTAGCTAAGAAACATAGTACATAAATAATCAAACAAAACAAACCCCAGCTCTCATATCAATCTCAAAAGCACCACAGTAATATTAAGTTGAACCATACCATGAGGATATACAAAATACATTAAAGAAATATAGTTGTGATGAAGCAGGATGCAGCTGAATCATGCATACTTAGTAGTCAGTGGGTTCGTTTTGACCCAGAGAAATAATGGAATAGAATTTATTTGAATAAAATTATCTGGTAAGAAATCTATCCACAGCAGAGAGAAACACCTCATACACCTTAATTATTCAATATGTTAGAGTGATTAATGAAGATCCATGAGACAAGGCATAAAACACGTATATCACAAATTCAAATGAAACCTAGACTACATTCAAGTTTCAGATAAATTGCAAAACAACCACAGATGATAAATAAAACAGACAGACTGAGAAAACAATGTGTAAAATTATGTCATGAATTCCCATTTAAAGTCATGCAAGCCTCATAAATGGGGAATTTTCTCTCTAAAATGTAAGAGTGGCAGCCAAAATCTTGTCTAAATAATATAAATGACATGATGGCTAATAGGAATGTAAATAATAGTTTTGGCTTTTTTCTAGTGAAAAGTGATAACATTCAATAAATTCAGTGTGAATTACAATTGTTTCAAATGAGACATTCCATAAATTTAATTATGATAACTTTTACAATGGTTGAAATTGAACAAAATACATTACAACATGTTATTATTTGCCATGAAACTTAAGAACTGACTGTCAACAAGGGGTACCATTCTCCAAAATTTTTCCACACATGCATCAGAATATGTAATTGTATGTATATTATAAAATGTGAAATCTCTATCAAATTAAGCATGTTGTCTTAATTGCCATATTGTTAAAGTTTTATTTTAAAACAGTACTCACCTCTTATACCAACAAACTGCATATCATAATATAATGTCAGTGGTTTGAGCCAAAATTTTATAATTATACAAATCATCTCCACATATTCACTTCTGGCCTTGTAGTCTCCTATAGGACATTATACACTGTAGCCTATTATAATGATATTCTATCTGACAATAGGCTACAGAACTGGTATGACACCTAGGTTTCTAGCCTGTAGATGAGAGAGACTGTCCATGTCACTTAAAAATGCTAGACCAATGAGATGAGCATGTGTTGCATGAGGTAACAACCTTATAATATTACATTTCACACCAAAAAACAATTCAATATTCAAATATGAGTTTATAACTTACAATCCTCTAAAGCTCTAACATGAAGAAGTTTGAAAAAGGTAAATCTGCAAGTAACTGAGATTGACTGAAATTCACATGTATTCTTGTTTGAAAATTATCAACATGATGTTTTTATTATCTTCTGCCTCTGAGTCAGATGTGAAAGATGTCAACCATCAAACTCATTCTATGTGTCACACAAGATTATATGTAGTGTAACATGGGCAACCCCATGACTGTCCAGTCTAAGGAAGAAGAAGAAGAGGAGACATAATCACCTTCACTGTAAACTCCTATCAGAAAACAGAAATAATATTCAATGTTAAAATTGGTACACAATTAAAAACACTTTATTTAGACCTATCTATGGCCTTCAAAAAGTTTTTAATTGTGTACCAGTTTTAATGTTGAATATTATTTATGATTTTAACTTTATACACAAGTGCCAAAATACAATTATTACCCTATCAGAAAGTTTATCAGATGATCAATGAGTATCATTAGGTTTTCTAAGTAAACTTCCCAAACCACTGGAAAGATTAAAGAAATGATAGAAAAAGCACTAAATCTTTGGCAGCTAAAATCCTTCTGCAAGATTTACATACATTGAATTTCTTTTGTAATAAATTAAAGATGGAGGAAGATAAATCTAAGCAAACTCACAAACACAAATCATACAATTTGAGAATGAAATCCCAAGAATAGATAGAAAAGACAATAATAAATGTGAAAAAAAATCCTCCTTGTGTAGCTTAAATTGACTGATAAACATTTAATGTATGCATAGTTTCACCTAAAACAAAAAAATAAAGTTACAAGTAATAATTAAGTGCTTTATGTACATTCTGTGAACTGAAAATACTCCACTACTGTTCTGAATACAATATAGTTTTGACTAATTTTTACATAACATCACATTGCCTCAATTGGAAACATTATGAAAAACACATTGTATGAAAGGGAATGTCATTTTATCTGTATAGGGTATAAAACTAAATTTTTTTTGGTTTCAGAGAGTTAGCTTGTACACTCTCCAACCTGAATTATCATATCATGAAAATGTTATTAAACAGATTCCTACTTCTCAGTAAGAACTATTTTTATTGGCTTGATGGATTTTCTGTGGAAAATTATGATAAGGGAGATTTACAAAGCCAACTCATAGACACAGAACTAGTGAATATTTATCCAAACTGGGAAGAAACCATCACAGAAGTGACCGACTGACTAAGATCTTCTCATTAGCCTAAATGTATAATCTATCAAAAGTGGTGGTTACAGGATCAACAATAAACACATAGATGGTTTGGAAAAAAAAAATATGTTGGTGATTGTTATACTAGATGTAAAAGCAAAAGGTAATGATGGAAATGATATCATACACTGCATTTATACACCTGTATATATAATTGTTATAGGTATAATCACATACTTTATCAAAATGCCTAGTGCTACATCAGGAATAAACTTTTTTTCATTCTGATGTCATATTTCCATAAATGCATACGTTTATCATTTTGTACAGAAAAAATCACTGTAAACATTACTTTCATTTAACATAGGTATTTTACAGTACTAAGTGTGTGATGATTAATGAACAGATCCACACATTGAGCAATATGATTTTTGCACTATTGAACGTACTTCCAAATAAGTATACTTGAAGGTGAAAGTGTTTTGACAATTATCAACTTTATGTAGAGTATCTATCTTAAAGACAGACACTTGGCATAAAGCTAGACAAACCTGAGCTTCAGCTTCATCCAGCTTCAAGAGAAGATCCTGTAGCTGTTTCTGGTAGTCTTTGGCACAACTGACAGTCTCCTCTAAGGTTACTTTGACTTTTGCATTAGCCATATTTCACAAAAATTTTCATCACAAGAAGTTATTGTGCTAAAACAACAGAAAAAATATATCATCAACAATGAACATCACATTTTTTTTCTACATTTAATTTACTTTGGGCTTTGACCACTTAAATTAATAAATTTAATAACCAATTTTAATTCAAAATGATCAACTTTGCAGCTATAAAATTAATAGTTTATAACTCATATCAACAAATTATGAGCTACACTTGTAAGAAACCATAGACACAAGGTTGTATTTGCTCAGTCACTGTGAGAAATTACCAAGGTAAAACAAATAATTGATAAATCAGGTGCTCTCTCAATATGTCAAAGTTGCATGGATATATTTAGCACTTTTCTTTTGGGTTATTCAAAGTTGTCAATTATCATACTAACAGGACAAATAGAAATTTGCAAAGGCACTTACACATCCTTTTTATGACCTTAGTATATGCAAAAATAATGATACTGACACCATTTCTCATCTATCATTTTCAGAGACTTTTCATAAATAAATCACAATGCTAATTTTTTGAACTTTCAACAGCCATAAGACAAACTACACAAGGCTCATAGTGATGTCTATATTCACAGCAGATTTGTGTATGTGTGTATGCCAAACACTTACACACACACTAAATAATGCTCTTCCAAAGGACAAATATGACCTTACCTTTCTCAATATTATGGGTAGTTTTCAATGTTAGACCATTTGCTAAACCTAATATTTTTATGGAAAAAAAAAGAACACAAGACTTAACTGTTTATTGGTGTTTTTAATATTGAAGAAAAACAACAGATAACCTATGTTCCTTTGTTTAAAGATGAAAAATAGCATTCATTACAAGCATTATGTTCAATAAAAAACTATTCTGTGAAAACTAAAGTTTTTGAGAGGCAAAGCTCCTCTCCTATTTCTGATGAGAGTTGTCCTAAAACTCATGAAGAACCTGAATATGGTGTTGTGGGTATTAAATGTTATCTTTCAAAGACCACTAAAAAAATAACAGATTCCTGATGATTAGAAGATTGATACTGTCATTCATCATATTTAAAAAGAATAAGGTCAAGGGAGCACTAGGAATATACAAGCCCTAAGGAGTCAGTTTGAGACTTTTATTGATTTAAGTAGCAGCTTCGTGGTACAGTATTAATTTACAACTACTAGCAATAGTGTACTACTGTATCTACTATTATTGGTCTTTCTGGGAACATTAAGTCACACACGCTTGCTGTTAAATACTAATAGCAATAGAGCAAGTGAAATCTGACTACACCGTCATACTAAATAACATTTTGAAATGCTGTGGACAGGAAGTTTTACTTTTAGTTTAACTTTACACTGGAGTCTCGACGGTGCAACTCTGCAATTTACAAATTATTGAGCACCTATTATTAAGTCGATTGCCTTGCTTAATAAATACAGTGTACGATGTCACTACAATAAGCTTATTAACATTATTATATAACAGTATTTTGTGTTAAATTTTATACTTTAACTTAGATTGAAACCATTTAGCCTCGTATTATCAAACTTTGTTAAACATACCCCTCCTTGTTTGCTATTGAATAGTATGATGCAGACGCTGTTCAATACCGCGCCATCTGTAAACATTTACCATGCTCTCTGTTTAAAATATATAAAAACATATTTATCTTGAACTTTTCGGGCTCTATATGAGATTAAACCTTTCGTGCCCACCCTCATAAAGAACTTGTATATATAAATGTGACTCAATCTAAATGTTTATTTGCAGCTTATACTTATCCAGCTTGTAGTTATAACCTCTTGTTCTTGTTGACCCACTCACTGGTATACCTTCATATTCATGGATTATTTTAAATATTTGAATAACTTTTCCGCGTTTGCGCCTGTGTGATAACTTGAATATCTAAGTCAATCTTAATAGTTTCAGTCTCTATTTTTGGGAGGCTTCTGTACACATTCTATAATGTTAATGCCTTTTCTCAAGGTTGGATACCAAGTTGTATGAACATATTCTAAATCGGAACGAACTATTGTATTGTACACTATATAGAATTACGAGAATTTCTACATCAACATAACCAGCTGATTTCTTCTTCATACTTAACATTCTATTTGCCTTTTTTATCTTTCTTTTCAGTGTTACTTTTTATAATTTTATATTCCATAGAATATTCTACATATCCATTCCTTTTTCCCATAGTGAATAGCTTTGTATTAGTCATTATTAAATCGAAGTTGTCATTTCTCTGACCAAGGGAACTGATGTCATTATCACTGTTTGTTGGTGAGAATAGCTTGTGTCATCGGCAAGCATTTTTATTATGTTCTTCACAGATTCTAGTAAATCATTGTTGGAAATTACGAGGTATCGGTCTTACAACAGTTTTCCACGTTCTTCCACTATAATAAACTCGTCCCCCCTTCTTGGTGGTTCAGTGCCAGACAGAAGACCAGAAAAATGGAATGTTATCTAACACAATTAGTTGATTTAATTTGATATGTGTTGTTGAGCAATGGTCGGAATACTACTTATATAATCCATTTGTTACAACAACAATTGTTATGGTGTAAACGTTTTTTTTTTTTAAGTTGGCAGAGTAGGACTATAACTATAAGTAAGTAAGCAACTTTATGCTTAATAAGATTACCATATTACCAGTATTAAACACAAAGCTGCTTACTTACTTGGCTGGTAGACACTGTATTACATTCGTTCTACTTTGTAACGCCTTACTTTATAGGATAGTGTGGTATAACACAATGTAGTTTACTACACTTATGTAATGCACGGTATTGCAGTTATATTTGGGTTATAGACACATTCTACAAATGCTAAATACTTTATAAGAAGGTATAATTACTGAACGCAAACACGTTTTAGTTGTTGAGTATTTTATAAATTAGGCAGTTAATGTGTTTAATGTAGGTTTTTGTACGCCAATTTTGATGTCTTTCCTCTAAGTCGCACGCTGAATCCTTTTTCGGCTGCACCTTTTTTTTTTGTCATACCTAAAGTGTTTTTGATTAGATTATATTACTACGTACAAGCTTTATCAACGCGTTTCTACAAAATGAAGTTTCTTAATTTGTATATTTTGTTTATACTCATAAGCACTACTGAACATAGTACGTTTTTGAGAGATGCTTATTACTTATTGCTATTATTTCTTTTAGTGTATTTATGTTGTGGTTTTGTTTTAAACTAAAAAACGATGCAAAGGAATTTAATAATTTGAGGTCCATTGACAGTCACGGGTATAAAACTAGCTAGATTATGGTATTTCTACTGTCTTGCAACAGTGGCTCCAACAGCAAAATAAACAAGAGAGACCACAGCAGTGGCTGGAGGAGAAAGAAAATAATATCTCAACAGTTGAGAGAAAGCCAGCATACACAAATGGAAAAGATTAGTAAATTTCAAAGTGAATTAAATACATTAAAGGACGATTTACTGTCTTTTACACAGGGAGGATATATTAGCCATGGACCTAATCAGCCCCAGACAACAGGAAGCCCCTTCCAGACCCCACAGCTAAACCCTAATTCAGTTCTGCCAGAAGTCAGATTTCAGACATGAGTGTCAGCAATAGGGGTGATCTAGTATGAATAAAGCCACAGAAATTCGATGGGAAGGCATCGTGGGAAGCATATAAAGTACAATTTGAGCTCCTGGCAGAAATGAATGGATGAACAGAGGAGCAGAATGCAGTGTACTTGGCAACGAGCCTGAAGGGACAACCACTGGAAATACTTGGACAGTTGTCAGCAGACGACAGGCACAACTATAGAGCACTGGAAGCTGCTCTAGAACTCAAAATCAGTCCGAAGTCTACAGAGTTAAGTTTAGGACTAGAGTCCGTGCTAAAGGGGAGAGCCTGCAAGAGCTGGCACAGGATTTGGAAAGTATGGCACACAAGGCCTATCCAACTGCGCCACCCGATCTTCTCAAGTTGTTGCTGAGGGATCAGTTTGTAGATGCCTTGGACAGTCCACAACTTAAGATACAAGTGAAGCAAGCACACCCCTCTACCATGCAGGATGCAATGGCCAGAGCTCTCGAATTTGAATCCTACGTTAAGTCCAGCACAGAGGTACCGAGGCTGGTACAGTCATCTGGATTCAACGCCAGAAAAAGGCAGCTTTCAGAGAAGTTTGAGGGACTTTGCTGGCACTGTAACGAACCTAGGCACAAGAGAGCTCAATGCCAGCAACTTCAACACAGGGAAGATGTAATGACAGGAAAGGCTGCTACCCAGAAAGATTGTTGGAACTGTGGAGAGCAAAACATATGAGGAGCCAGTGTAAGAAGAATACTACCAATAAGTCAGTTTCGGGAACCAGTGGTGGTTGATGCTGAGGGACGCCCCAACAGCTAAGTGTAAAATGGCAAGCACGCATAGTGTCTATGTGACAGGAAAGCTGGATGGTCAAAAGTGCAACTTTGTCATAGATTCTGCATCTCAGCAAACCCTTGTTAGTATCAAGGTGCTAGATCACAAAGGAGTACCAGAAGCTGCACAGAAGCTCTATGGTGTGACAGGACATTATGCACGGTTGTGGGGACCAGTGTGGATAACTATTGAGCTCATGGGTATGAAGAACAGACACAAAGTATACTTGGGTGACATTGAAGACCAATGCATACTAGGGTTGGACTACTTACTATGGAGGAAGTGTGTAGTTAATTTTGATAAAATGACGTTTGGAACAATAAAGGCCAAATTCCGGTATGTGTTACTGC